GAGTTCTTCAAACCTAGGAGAGGCTTCAAATCTTCCTTCTATGCTTACTTCAGTGCTTTCTCCTCAATGTAGAGCCTCAGTTTCCTCTGGGGTCCCATAGTACTCTGCACATAGCTACGAAGTTATTCACTAAGATTATTGTCAAGAGATTCTGCAACTCTCTGGGAACCCTATCAATTCATGTCTGTATGGTCATTCACTAGCACCATGCCTAGCATAAAGAAGATATTTAGAAAGTGTTTGCAAATGGATTAAAAAATGAATTAACTAAAGTAGGTTAATTTTTTCTAAAGTAACTCTTTGTTCCTCCCCACCCCTCCCCACCAGCCTATCATCCTCTGGCCACTCTGTTATTGAGGTAGTTGTCACCCTATTGCTTCACTCAGTGTCACAGACACCATCTCTACCTGTCCTTCCTGCCAGGCCTCCTGATCATTGACATGGAATCACTCTCTTTACCATGCATGGTGCTAAGATCTCTTGTGCCTTGGTTTATGTGGTTCTTTTCTACTGGTCACAGCTCTCCCTCTCAACTCTTTCCTTCCCTTGCCTGGAGTCAGTCTCACTACGCATAACCCTCTGTGTTCCTCCAGTGGGAGGTGGTGGTCCTGGTTCCAGATCCACCTTCCCCATGGAAGCCACTGGGTAGGACAATCACCCAGGTGCAGCTGGGTGCATGCATCTACTCATCAGCTGCTGGGTGCACTGGTTTGTGATGGGCACTTGGAAAGAGCTGGGAATAGAATGGGTGTTTTGGGACCATGAGCTTTGGAGACAGGCCATTGTCTGCAAGTGCTCTCTTCCCCTGGGCCACCTGCAATTAATGTGAGTCTGTGTCCCTGGGGTTCCAACTTTTCATTATCTTCCCATCTTGTGGATGCAGGGAGTCCTGCCCATGCCCCCATTCATGTGGGGCAACAGATACAGTGATATGAATGGGAGATGACTTAGGTTTTCTGCCTATCGAGGGTCCCCTCTGACCAGGAGGATCTTCACTCTGTGTGGTTGTAGAGTCTTCTGACTCAGGACATGATGTGAGGGTACATGGGCAACAAGAGTCTGGCTCATACCTGAGACCTTAGCAATCATGCATGTCCCCCACTTCCTTCTGCCCGAAAAATGCAGTGCCTCATCCTCACCATTGAAACCTTCGTGATCTGGCCTGGCACACCTGGTGCTCCGGCATCTGAGGTTATGCTCTAGGACGTGTGATTTCTTGGACTGTCCATATGGTCAGCTCCAACCAAACATCTCTTGGAGTTCTGATTTTCTCTGCAACACTTTGGAGGCCCACTCAGGGTTCATCTGAGGAATGAACAAGGAGACCAAAGAATACACTGTGAAAATCCAGTGGTAGAGACCAATTCACCTGTCATCAGACACACAGCTCAGTGATTCAGCCTCCTGACCCACAGAGATGCCTGTATTCTAGCCCCGTCTCGGTCAGCTGTGCCAAAACAGCCCCGACCAAGGTAATTTGCCAGGTCAAGAGACACTTGTCCATGGAGATTTCAACATGTATGAAAATGACACAGGGTCATAGAGCTGGCAGACGAAGTAGCCATTTCCAGTGACTTAAATGCTGGCAAATGTGGGGTTGAGGGAGAGCTGGTGAGAGTTGGGGGCTACCGTTGATGAGGAGTGCAGCATCTGCTTGGAAGGGATCTTTCATGAGGAAGGTGTGTTCATGTTATTTTGTTATTTCGGGAGTGTGAGTTTAAAGAGACAACATGAAGCCTTTTCTTCTTTGGTGTGGTATCTCCAAAATGTGACTTTTAGTTTGGAGTTTTTCTTCTAAATCCATGTTGTCAGCTTTGTTCTGAGAGCTGCAGTTGGAACCTCAGTTCACGTTCATTTGTGATATTTCTTTTCTTCCCGTGGACGGGAAGAACGCCAAATGATTTGAGTAATCCAAAGACAATTCATAACTGGTAGGATCCCACCAGGGGATTTTTGCTTATCTCACCATGTCCAGAGAAGAAAGAAACAGATTGCAGTTGGGTTTATCTCTCTAAATCAGCTAGACAGGGCTGCAGTGAATCAGAACAAAGCCATGTCATCAGTGGTGGTGGTGGTGGTGGGGAGGGAGGGGCAGGGCCTTTGTGGATTAGATTGACTCTGTTGGGTTTTCCTTATATCTCTGTCCTAGGCTCTTCATTTTGTTTTTATTTTGCTTATCTTTAATGGTGACAAATAAAACAGCAGTATTAAATCCATTTAATTTTGATATTTCATCAATATTTAATATCATCGGAGCAGACACAGATATTCTGAAGCCGGCAGCTTGGAGCCCCTCTGGCCCTTCCCTTGTGCCACTGTTAATCTTTCTCTTGCTTGGGACAGGCAGAAGGCCCAAGGGGCTAAGCTGATGGGAGGCGTTGGGGTCTGGGGCAGTTGCTCTCCATTGATTGATATGGAAACATTTCAGTATTTTATCACCTATTTCTATATAGGGAAATTCCTGTCCCATCCACCTACTTCTCCTTTCTTCTCCTGTCTTCAGTTGAGAAGGGAGCTGTGGGAATCTGAACCCAGACCTGCATTTGTGGTCAGCATTCCTGGTTTTCTGCTACATTGCCCTATAGACTGTGCTGAAAACCTGAAATACCTTGCTAATGACTGAGGATTCTCTGACAGTTTTTCTCCATTGATGCCTGATCTTTTCAACCTCATTGACTTGAACAGGAAGGAGTCTCAGGCAATTTTCAAGTTAAAATGTTATTATTCTTGTCCTGGATGTTGAATACAAAAAATGGTAATTTATGCACATAATCTTGTGGGTTTTCCTTAACTGACTTCTTAGATACTCATGGTTCTCTGTGCTGTCATTCAACCTCTATGTGGAAGTCAGGTTCTCAAGGCTGCCTTGTTCTTAGGCATCTTTTCCCCCCAGGTTTCTTTGCAGGCCCCACAAGGAGATATTAGGGCAGCTGTAGTTGCTGGCTGTGACACCTGATATGGGAACAAACACTCTTTCACAGGTGATAAGAGTCAGAAGCATTTCACTTTAGCTTTTACCTTTTGCTTTTTACTTGATTTTTTTTTTGGTTTTAACTCATTGTTTTCAGGAACAAAATAATACAAAGGGCTGAACCAGGCTCAGTGGACAGCATTAGGTTAATAATGTGAACGTTTGTAGGAATTCACAGCTCAGGCTCTGCAGAGGGTCCATCTGAGCAGGAATCCCAACTCTGCCATTGTGTGAGCTACCAAAGTGCTAAGAGCTGGAGAAGCAGAAATGTGAGTGGCATAGAGATTGTTTCCTCCATCAGCTTGGTACTGACACAGGTCCTGATTAGCTGTGTAGGTTGCAATTCTTTCCCAAGCAGTGGATGCACAGGAGACTCCCTCTGGTGGGGGAGAGCAGTCCTGGAAGGGTACTGCAGTGCCCAGGGGTGAGGACCCTTCACTTTGTATGACCCAACTGACCAGGCTGCCATATTGCCATCTCCTAGCTCCATGGCACCTCTCTGTAGCACATTTAGGAGACTAACAGTCTAAGAGAAGAGTAATCACTGTGTGTCCTGAAGGCTCAGGACAACAAACCATCAATTAAAAGAACATTCAGGGAGACTTAAGCACAGCACATTTTGGAACACAGATTTCTACAGAAATTTCACAGCCACTACATTTTCTTGGATATAATAATGTGAAATTCACCTCTGCAAGAAAGGTGCACCTGATGTTGGCATGACTTACTAGAGAATGGTGGTTCCTAGTTATAGAATTGTTATGCCAGATTCGTAGGACCCCAGTAGACCTCCAGGAGCCGAATCCGATGCAATCACACAAGAGTCTTTATTGTAAGCTCAAGCCTGCACTCACAACTGTTTCCGATGCAGCGGTCCCAGGGGGTGAGTCCTGGTCCTTTGTTCAGTGAGATTTTATAGGTTTTTGGGGGGATACTCTATGCATCACAACATCACACAACAAATAATTCCACACCGCGGGAAAGTCAAACAATAACTCTTAACATTGATTAGCACATTCAGTGGCGGGAACAAGTTGGGTAGGGGTGATAGGTCAGTACAAGAGGGGGATTCCTTTGAACTGATTGGTTTAGGCCACGACGGTGTACGCGCTAAACTACATGGTTTCCCAACATGTTATCAACCACCATAAACTACTTGGGGGTCATCTGGAATTCCAGTATTTTCCCTGTCTCATGCTGATTGGAGGTTGCTAGGGGGGTTGCTATGGGTCCTCACCTAGCCTAACTGAGTCAGGGACACCTGGTGCCTCAGACCTCTCCTGTTATTTACAGACAAACAACTCAGCGGGTGGGTATGTGCTTAGGAGTGTTCTGTGGGTTTTTCCAAGGACAAAGGTTATGCTTCCTTCCTTAGGACAGGCTTTGCTCTGAGGTATAGACTGGTTTCTCAAAAATGGAGTCACATTAGTTTTTCAGAATCTATACCTGTTGTCCTATAATGAACGTCAGTGGGGTTGAGATGACTGGCAGTGAACAGTGTTGAGAAGCAGGTTACCCCTGGTTTACCAGTGTGCAATTTGGAAGCAGAGAATTGTTCTGGCTTGGTCACTTGTGAGATTTGTGTTCTTGTACTTGTCAGTGCCTCAGTTTCCTTATCTGTCAATTGATAAAAGACACACCTGAAGAATGTTTGAGAATTAACTAAAATGATGCCTGTGTAAAGGAAGCATGAGATTTGTAGGGTTTCACACATGGTAGTGGGTTTGTAACATTTCCAGACAGGCTGTGTTAGAAGCTACGTGACTTTCTTCTATTTAAGACCCACAGCAGCATCAGAGGGACACGCTACAACAAGGAGAGCCAGTTTTTCCATGTGGCTGGATTCAAGCATAAAGAGATGGGTCTCCACGCAAGTTTTTGTGGATTTCAAAGTTGACTTTCTTTTCCCTCCATGCATCTCTATGCTTCCTACAGCCTTATTGTTGTAGAAGCACCTAGATATTCTTGAAGTTTGTCGCAATGTACAGCTCTTGTGAGCTTCTGTGAGACCTGGTGTTTTCCTCCACAGATTCCCGTGCTCCTGAACCTGAGCCAAGACCCTGAGGTCAGCCTGCCTGCGCCACCACTCCTGTACGCCCTGGCCTTCGGGGCCTGCCTGGGAGGTAAGGAGTGCTGACTGCCCCCGGAGAGCATGCCCACACTGTTGTCATGCCCAAAGCATGAGCATCAGATAGAAAGTAAAGTAAGGAGAGCCCTCGAAGATTTCCTGAGGGGAAACACATCGTCTCCTTTGGAATGATTCCAGAGCTACTCAGTTCCTCTGTGAAGCCTGTCACTTCTCACTCTCTGAGAACTGCCTCTGACATCCCACACCCGTGGCCTGAGGATGATTGTGACTGATGTCTGAAAGCTAATGTGCAACCCTACTGTGCCACACGGGAAGTCTGGCTTATGAATCGGAAGCCATCCTCAGTGGCACTTTTCTCTTTTTCTTTCCCTTCCCCTTCCCTTTTTTCTTCCTTAAGCAGCAGAGGTGACAGCGGCCAATGAATGAGCCCTGAGAAATAGAGACTCCAACCTAATAGTAGGAAAAAAAGATGGAAGGTTTATTTTGGCGGGGGTGATAGGGTTGTAGTTTAGAGAAATTGCAGAGTAAACTAGAGTGTTGAATGAAACTGACTTTGGGGACAAAACATGAAGTCTTTGGAAACATGTGTTTGCCTCCAAAGGATCTGGACCCTTCTCACCTTTAGGAAGCTTAATCAACTTTGGGGAAACAAGAGAATTGTGGAAATCTTAGTTAAACACACCAGATATATTTAAAGTATTTTATTCTTACATCCAGGCATGGTTATATAATCCTGCCTTCTTTGTTGATTGATCTCTATTAAATCAATAACTTTCTTTTTAGTTTAACTCCTTATTTGTGAAGGGGGATTAATGCCATGTAGTAAAGTTTCTATAATTTCAAAAGACAGCTAATTCCTCTAATTCAGTGGTTCAGGACTGAACTTCTCACAAGAGTGCAAAACTGATAAACTTGCTCACAACTAAGAAACAGCTCCAGGAACTTCATTCACAGCTACACCTAACACTGGCAACAGAAGCAGAATCCAAGGACACCTGGAGGTACATCCCCCATGTGGGATTTTGTTCATTCAGACTTACTGAGTATTGGCTGTAATAGCCTGAAATTGTTCCAGGCAATTAATTCTTCTCTGATCTTGAATGGGGAAAAGAGTCACCTTATAGCAGATTGCTACATCCTATCCTAGTAGATGCCTCAAGTCCTCAAGGGGTGCCCAAGAGAGACGGGAGGAAAAGTCAAAGAAGGTGCTCCAAATAGGGAGGTTCTAGCAGGGTCTTAAAGGGTGAGAGGTCTCCTGCACTGGTTCTGATTTCCCTAAAATCTGTAGGGTGCCTACAGAGGGGAGCCTAAGGAAGAGAGCTTAACATGAATCATATATAAGATGATAACCTCAAATAGTATCACATACTTATAAGCTCACTTGAGAAATAGGGATACAACAGTAGGGAAAAAATATAGGTTATAAATCTTGGGATCTTTTTAACCTAGCAGCTCTTGTTACTAAAAGGCACTTGCTTCTGGCATAGCAGATGATCCATTGTTCTGGCTATTAATGTTATACTTTGATGAGGGATCTCTCTCTCATTGCCTCAGGGTTTGGCATTTAAAAAATACTGTAGTAGCTGGGGGTGATGAATGCTTGCAATCCCAGTAACTCAAGAGGCTGATATAGGAGTATTGAAAGTTTGAGGCCAGCCTCTGCAACTTAGCAAAACCCTGTCTCAAAATAAAAAATAAAAAGAGCTCAGTTGCTCAGTTGTAGAACATACCTGGGTTATACCCCCACTACCAAAAAAAAAAAAAAAATACTGTGATAAAGTCTACATAACATAAAATTGACCATCTTAGTCATTTTTAAATGTGCAGTTCAGTGGCATCAGATATGGTCACATTGTACCTAACTCACATTGTAATTCACATTGTGTATCTTCCTATTGTAATTCACATTGTGTCAAAACCATCATCCATCGCTAGAGTGCTTGCTTTTCATCATCCCCAATTGAAATTCCATAACTATGAAACAGCAACTTGCCATTCTTTCAGTATTTGGCATTTTGGAGGGGGGCCAGGGGCAGGTAATCGGGATTGAATTCAGGGGTAGTTGACCACTGAGCCACATCCCCAGCCCTATTTTATTTAGAAACAGGGTCTCACGGAGTTGCTTAGCACCTCATTTTTTTTTTTTTTTTTGCTGAGGCTGCTTTGAACTTGCAATCTTCTTGCCTCAGCCCCCTGAGCTGCTGGGATTACAGGTGTGCACCACCACACCCAGCCTGAAGAACACTTTAAATAGAGGTTTTCAGTTGACATTAGGATTATCAGTTACTGTATAAATTAGGAGACATTCACTAGATAGTTTGAAAGAAAAACTTCTTTACTGGTATGACTCCAATACTTTTTGGTTACTCTTTTTTTTATTAAGTTAAGAACAACTTAAAAAGTCTTTAAAAAAAATCTTAATGCAAAGTTCCTGGAAAGCGGAGGCTGAGGCAATTTTGCACATTAAGTCTTGCTCAGTCGCTGCAATCCTAGGGCAGAAACTCTGAGCAGAGGAAGTGACATGAACTCAAAGAACAAGGGAAAAGAAGAATGCTTCTGTGCGTGGCTATTGAGAGATTGGGGACAATTAAAGCAGCATGTGGCTGTATTCAAACCTGTTGCTTTCTTTGGGTCATGTATCTTGAAGGACAGGTGGCTCTTTAACTTGCCAAAGGGAATGCCAGTACATAGAGTTCCTTTTCATGTTTTCTGTCAAGTGGAAAATTACTACTGGTATGGGAGCATGGTTTACTTAATCCAACTTGCACTGGCTGACACAGGAAGTTAGGCCGGAGAGTCTTTGTATGAAACGTTCATCAAAAACAGGGCAGGGAATGGAATAATTTTCAAAATGGTTCTCATTCTCTCTATAGATCCATTGATCACATGTCCGTGTAGGATAACCCAGAAATGCCAAGAAATATAGCAGGTGCTCATGCACACTTCATTCCCCATCTACTTCTATGTAAATGGAACTGGGGTAGAGGCTTGAGCTGTGTAGTGACACCAAGGATCACTTTCTCCTTGCTACATGGAACCTATGTCATTTGTAGTGCCATGAAAAACCCTGCTAGTATTTTACAAGATACAGGCAGTCCCTTACTTACAAACGATCTGACTTAACAATTTTTTGACTTTGCAGTGGTGTGAAAGTGATATAAATTCAATAGAAACCATTCTACAAATTATGAGTTTTACTACTTTCCTGAGCTAGCACTCTGCAGCAAGACCCCCACCTCACCCCGCCCTCTCTCAATGCTGGGCAGTGGCAGTGTGCTGTAGCTTCCAGTCAGCCACATGATCACAAGGGGAAACAACGGATCCTCTGCAGTGAGTGTGGTGTTGCTAAGCTAGGGTGTTTGCTAGGTGAGGGGTATTCAAAACATTTTTTACTTAAAACATTTTCAATTTATAATAGGTCTGTTGGGATTGTAAGTTGGGAAGCATTTGTACTGCAACAACCACTGTACCACTGTACTGCATTTGAATAGTACACTTGCAATCTTAAGTGACTCCACAATTACTCCATGAGATGTCTGGAGATGGACGTGGCTCTGTCCTCATCTCCCACAGGTGAAGTTGGCTCCTTTACATTTCTCCTGCCCATGACAGGAAGAATAGGCCGATGGCTCCTTCTCTGATAGGTAGCTGACATGGAAGTGGGTAGGAATGGCCATTTGCAATCAAGGAAGCTTGAGGGGGTATTTGGGGGGTAGAGGAGGCTTCTGATGATTTCCCTATTCCTGAGAACAAACTTGCTTCTTCCTTTGGACATTGTCATTTGGCAGAGATGCCTGGAGTCGTCTCCAGTCCGATGTGGGACCAGCTCTGTGCATGTTGGTGGGTGGTGGAACACACAGACAAACAGAACAAATCCTGTCGGAGCCCTGCAGAAACACCTTTGGGCTTGCTCCTTCTCTGACTGCCCGTCACATGAGAGGGAGACAGAGACTTTCTCTATTGCTTTCATCATCTTGTTTTGCATCATTATATCCAAAAACTTCTTAATAGAACAGAAATGATCTGTGGTTTGCAAAAGTTACAGTGCCTAGAAGATTGGAGACTGTGAGCTATTCTGGATCCTTATCTAGCAATTCTTTCTGCTGTACCAGCAAATATAGTGCACCACTGGGGGGCTGACCCAACTCCCTCCCCACCTTCTTCTCTGTAGCTCCCTAGGCCATGCCCACTTTGGTTGTCTCATTTTACTGACTATTAAGTCAGAAGGAAAGGCTATTTAGGAGCTTTTTGAAATGCTTTTGCCTCCCTCATACAAACAGGTGGGTGCCCATTCTCTTCCACATCATCCTGCTTCAGATGTGGCCATGAAACTATCTCGTGATAAAAAGAGATGCTCAGAGAATTAAAGAGACCTGCCTCTGACATGAGACATTGAATGGAGGCTCACCAGCCCTTCACCTCCAAGTTTCTCATTCCATGAGAGATTATGCTACTGTTAGTCAGGTTTCCTGCTTCCCGTAATTGAAAATATCCTTAAAACAAACAGGGTTAATGAGACTTAATAAGATAATGTTTTACATCCCAAGTCAGGAGGTCAACTGACTTCTTACAAAGGGATGGCTCAAAAGGCAAGGACCTAGTTGGGGTGGGGGGAGGTCAGGTTATGAGGACGTTTCTGGTTTAGGGAGACTTTGAGGGGAGAGCAATCTCTATGGTGTCATCCACACCACATTCCCAGGAAGCTGGGTGGAAACCCAATGTATAGAGCCTGCACAATCAACTACATGACATGATCCTGTACCATCCCTGCTCATTTCTGTGTCATCTCCCTCCCCAAGGCAAAAGTAGGAACCCTGCCTCATTTCTTCATGGGGACATGGGTCCTCCTTCTTCTTTCTGTTTGCAGAAGGTCATTCCCTTGGGCTGATAATGCTGTGGGTAGTTACAGAGCAGTGTCTCACAGTGCACCAGTCCTCCACAGAAAGAGCCTGTTCTTCAAATGTTTAGGCACAGATGTTGGCATTCAGCTACATTGGCTGTATCTGGGTCATGTAACCATTCCTGTTAATTGAGTGCCACAGTTCAAGGTAAAGAAGAGGCCCATTGGCTTGACCATGCAGATTCACCCTTCCCCGAATCAATCATTGTGAGTGTGTGAAGGGAAGGGGGAGATCTGATGATCTGATTGGCTGGTCTTGGCTCTGTCCCTTACCCAGGCCTGAGCACTGGCTTGTGTTCATGTGTGTACAGTGTGTCTCTCCTCACCTTGTGCACTGTCAAAAAAGGCTTACCTGAGAAGGTATTTCATGTGAAGGAGATGCCCTTTGGTGAACAGTGCCAAACTCCATTGTTTCACCTGGTTGTTCTCATCCATTCTTTCATTCACTGAAAGAGTTTCCTGGCAGGTGTCTGGGCCTGGAGCCCAAGGAAGGCAGTTTTTGTCTGAGATTTCATTCCATTGTCTCAGAGGACATACGTTTTCACCTGTGGTTCTTAGCTCTACTTGCATTTTCCCCTAAAGGATACATACCTTGTGATTGCCCATTCTCCTTAGTATCTCTCTCTCTCTTTCTCTCTCTCTCTCTCTCTCTTTTCTATCACAGAGAAGATATAGTCTATCTGAGAGGGAATCATGGTATTTATAAGCAGAGAACTTATTTTCTGGTTGCAAGTGTGTGTCTAGATATTTATTTACAAAGCAATCACTTTGATCGTGCCTGTAAAGTAATCATCAAATCAAAGCCTCTGAAATGGTCCAAATATTACAGAACAAAAGAGCAGAAACCTACCACCAAGATAAATTGGGATTTTATTCTATTTAAAAACTTTTGATTCCAGGTAATGGGACACTGATTGGAGCATCTGCAAATGTCGTTTGTGCAGGAATTGCAGAGCAACATGGATATGGATTCTCTTTCATGGAATTTTTCAGGTACTTTAAAAAACTCATTTAAAATTTCTGTTTAACTACCTAGTTTGAGACTTACTGGATTTTTTTAACACAATAATGCATTCTGCTACACACGGGGGATAAATATACATTTAGCAATTAGAGAGACTCTGGTATAGGTGCGGTTAGCTCAGAAAGAAAAAGGTATTAAAAATTTATTGCTGGAACTAGCTCTGTCACACAGAGGCTGTTATGAATAATTCAGCTTGAACCTGGAGTCAAGAAATGGTGGTGGGCTTGCTGGATATTTCATGTTTGCTGTTCTCTTGAAAATTTCACTGGGGACTGTGCCTTGACTGTCCATTAAGATGGTGCATAACAAGAGTCTGACTTCCTCCCACCAGAGTGCATAGAAGAAAGTTCCTGTTAGCAGGGATTATAATATCCCTGTTATCAGGGATTATATTGCAGACTGGGGCTTGGATCACCATGCTGAAGGTATTCTGGAAGCAGACATTCCACATGTGGGCATGTCTCAGGAGGAGCACACAGAGGCAAAATCTAGAAGAGGGGAGTGGAGCTGGTCTCTGTGAAGGAGAACTTGCTCCAACGTGTGCTTTTTTCTACTCTTGGGGATTAGTTCCCTGCACACCTGTGTTTACCTGGCACAACTGCACCTTGCAAGCTGGTGAGAGAACAGAATAGTCCTATAAAATGGTGCTATCAAAAATTAACTTCATTCCCTTGGAGTTGAGTCATATTTCCATGGAAGTTTTTCAACTACAAACTCAGTTGGGTATATGCACAGTAATGGGTTTCAGAACCAACCTTCAGCTTTGACTGAGTGGCAGAGTAACCCACAGCTTGTGGAGATAGCCATGCCTGCTCCAGGCACTTGTTCTTCCTCAGGGTGCTGATTGCCTGGGCTTGGGCTTGGGCAAGAACCCTGGCCGTGATATCCAAGCAAGGACTAAGAAGAGTGATCTTGTCCATTTTTAGTTGTTATAACTAAATATAACAAAATAGCTATATCTGGCTATAGGGTTTTTTTTTAAGTTTACAGTTCTGGAGGCTGGGAAATCCAAGAGCATGATTCTGGCATCTGTTTGGCATCTGGTGAGGGCTTTCTTGTTGCATTATAACATGGTAGAAAGCTTCATGGGGTATGGCAGAGCAAGTGTGCCACAGACAACTTGCTTATATAACAAATCTACTCCCTCACTAACCAATTAATTCAGATATTAATCCATGAATTATTTAATAAATTTATAAGGGTAGAGCCCTCAGGACCCAGCCACCTCGTAATGTTCCCACCTCTCGGTACCATTAACATGTGAATTTGGAAATTAAGTTTCCAACAGATGAAATTTTATTTTTAATATTTAGTTTTTAGGTGTAGTTGGATGCAATACCTTTATTTTATTTATTTATTTTATGTGATGCTGAGGATCGAACCTAGGGCCTTGTACGTGCTAGGGAAGCACTCCACTACTCAGCCACAACCCCCAGCCCCATCCAACAGATGAAATTTGAGGGACACAGTCATACAACACAGCAACTGCTCTGTATGTAGAGAAAGCTGCCAATTTGGGGCAGATTTACTATATTGGCTACTAGCAATACTTGTCAATTTTGCTGAGATATTAATTTGAATGATACTCCTTGGATGTAGGAGAAGTTGCTGGGCAACACATACTGAATGTGTGTTTCCCTGCAGGATTCTGGGCACATTGCTGACCCTGCTGTTTAGGGACAAGGTGCCAAATTTAATGATTGACCAAATTATTCCTGCTTAGACTCTCATCTGCCTCTGCTGAGAGTAAAAGGAATGATCCTGTCACTTAAGAATTTTCTTGTGAGGTCAGCATTCAGCAGGATGGCCCCCCTCACACTGCCATCTTCTCATCTTTGCTCCTGAGCCAGTGAGGGTCTAGACTCAGAGCACAGCCAAGAAGGGGATTCAAAGATGAGTCAAGAAGGGAACTTGAAGACGGGCTGCAGGGGAGACACAGACTTGTTCTGACAAACCAGCAGTCCCTCATTTGGGCCTGGGTCCTAGTTTCTGCAGAGCTGAAGGGCTTTCACTCAAGTGTGCCTAGTCTCTTTGGTTGGTCAAGCATGTGCTATACTGGCCCCTCTATTTCCTCTCTACTTTCAGAGTGCAGTGAAATCTCAGGGCTATTGTGTGCTAGTGATTGATCTCACAGGGAGGCCTGGTATGATTAATCTTATGAAACAGAAAAAGAGAGTTTTTAGGATAATTATATACCCACTCTGATCTTCCCCTAGCATCAATTTGGAATATTCACTAGGACATCTGACTAAGGAAAGAGGTTGGTTTCACACCACTCAGGACATGTGAAGTGTATGGAGATGGTACATGTGTACAATGAATTCTTCTTTTACATATTTTTCACATAAAAAAATTGATGAGCTATGTGCCTAGTACATGAGTATACATGTGTATATTATATTGAAATGCTGTGATGACTTTTAGGAACTTGGTGGTCTCAGAAAGCTTGGGCAGGGCTGCTAGTTGTCTCCTCATAAGCTCATTAGCTCCTGGAATGATAAATTATGCCTATTTTTTTGGGGAAAAAATGCCCTTTGGTTAGTAGTCAAGGGCCATGCTTTATTTTGGTCTGATTATAGTTGTTCTTCTAGCTGCCATCCTTCTTGGTAGGTCCCTGCTATGGGAAAACCAGAGCAGTTTTTCCAAGGTGTGGTCATCTAGTTGTTGTAGGGCCCTTGTTTGCATGAAGTACTGAATTTGCAATTGCATATTCACTAACTTGACTTTTATTTACCACACTTAAAATTTTATTTTTATAAAAGGTAGCTTCTTTATGATTCACAGTTCAAAATGTTGACTTTCTGCTTCATTTTAAAAATTACTACTTTTCTGGTTGTATAAATGTTTTTAATGAAAAATATATAAGAATGAAATATAAACATAATCTATAATTTTTCTACCCAGAAATAACCACTGATTACAATTTCTTGGGTTTTCTTACATTTTTCCTGTCTACCATATGATACATGTTTTTTTTTAAGTTCTAAAATCACATGACATTCTACCTTTTATTCTTCATAATAAATTGTGAGTATTTAACAGGCCATTAATCATTCTTCCAAAATAGGATATATTTATGCATACCACATGTGGATATATCCCTGTTTATTTCTCCTTTGTTGGGCCTTGAGATTGGTTCTTGTTCTTAACATTGATGGGATAATAAATTTTGCTTTATTTCTGATCATTGAAAATAAATTTCCTGATATCCAGTTGCTAGCTAAGTGAATCATGTTTTTAAATATTGACAAACTGGCATCTGGAATGTTGCTATTGCTATTTACAGCACCTCCCTACTGAGACACATTCCTGCCATATTCAACACTCATTGCCCATGTGGCAGACTACAGCAGATTCACATTCTGTTATTATTAATTCTACTGAGGTTAAACTCGTTCTATAAAGGTATAGTATATCTGCATGTCTCATTTTATAAACTTTCTATTCATATTATTTGCTTATGTCTTTCTCTTGGGAGAATTGAATTTCTCCTGTTCTTTTTTTAAAGTTGTCTTTGCATATCAAGGAATCAGTTCTGACTTGTTTTGTGACTAATTTTTAAGCTTATTTTGGTCTTTTAAATTTTACAAGGGGCTTTTAATGATTGACCTACTTATTTCTGTTTAGATTCTCATCTGCCTCTGCTGAGAATAAAAGGGATGATCTTCTCAGAATAAAGTTTATCTGTTTGACTATAGAAAATTCTCAGAATTTTCTATAGTCAAACAGATAAACTTTATTGTTTTATCTAGACATATTATGGTGTTACTAAAAGTTTTTAATGAAACTTGTTCTTTCAAGATAATCATAGATTGATGTGCAGTTGTAAGAAATAATGCATAGGAATCCCATGTATCCTTTACCAAGTTACTTCCAACTGTAGAATCTTGAAATACTGGAGTCTAACATCACAACCAGGGAATTGAAGCTGATAAGGTCAGAGTGCAGAAGATCCCTTCCCACAAGGACTGTTCTTTTATGAATCACTTTCACTTCCCTCCCACCTCCACCCTCCACCACTGGATTGTTTTCCATTTCTAAAATTTTGTCGTTACAAGAATGTTATATAAGCAGCATTATACAATATGTGGCCTCTTGGATTGGCTCTATGTCACTCAGCATAATTGCCTAGCAGTTATGTATATATGTACACATTTACATAATCCATATATATATACATATGTCTCATATATAAGTAGTTTTTCCTTTTATTGCCTTCTATGATAAGGATATCCACAGTTTGTCTAATAACTGGCCTTTTGGAGAACATCTGAGTTGTTTCCAGATTGGGACAATTATGAATAAAGCTGCTATTGCCTTTTATCACAGCCTCTGGATGGTTTATTCATTCACTCAATAGGTTCTTATACAAAGCAAAAATTTTGAATCTTGTTGAGGCCTAGTATATAATATTTTCCTTTTAATTTTCCGTTTTGAACATCAAAAGCATGATACCATGAGAACTCTTTGCCTAGCTGTAGATACTAAAGATTTTCTTCTAGCTTTTTAAAGTTTTAGTTTAGTTTCACATTTTATATTTAAATGCATACTCCTTCCTTCCTTCCTTCCTTCCTTCCTTCCTTTCTTTCTTTCTTTCTTTTTCTTTCTTTTTTCCTTCTAATTAGATATATATATGAGAGCAGAATGCATTTTGATTCATTGTACATAATTGCAACATAACTTTATTTCTCTGGTTATACACAATGTAGCACTGCACCATATGTGCAATCATGCATATACCAAGGATAATGATATCCATTTCATTTTACCATCTTTCCTGCTCCCATACCCCTGCCCTCTCCTCCCTCACCTTTGCCCAATCACAGTTCCTCCACTTTCCCCATACTCCCTCTCCCCATTATGGATCAGAATTCACTTATAAGAGAGAACATTTGGCTTTTGTTTTTTTTTTTTTGGATTGGCTTACTTAGCTTAGCATGACGTTCTCCAGCTGCATCCATTTATCTGC